TCATCAGTCATCGAAAACAGCTTCATGGCAATATGATGTGTAAACTCAAAATAGCTAGCCAAGTATATTTTCCCTCTCCCAACAGCAAGTAAAGAGGAGGAAAATAAGGTCCAAATAGAATGCTCACTACTACTATGCTTGAATAGAGTCGCACTTTCTCCATAGTCTTCCAATTCAACGACGGATAAGTATTTATCAAATCGATTCCCAATATTGACTTTATAAAGGTCAATGAGCATATCTAGAATATAGTCTCCAATTTTAAACAGGAATTCTTTCAAATATATACTGGCAATCGACACTATAGCAATGGTAGAGGCAATAATGCTCAACTGTGCATTTGAAGACGTAGAAAATGCACGCCGAGTTCCAATTCTGATGGTCTGTATTATTGAACCTTTTCTGGTTGAAAATCCAGTTGCTAGGACAATTGCCTTAATACGCCTAACACAAGAACTTTCAGAAGAAATTGCTTGCATAAAGGTTCCATCATAAAGAACGTATTTTGAAATCTCATCAATATTGGATTTTCTTCCACCAAGAATGGCATTTAGTATTTCTGTGGGTGCTGCAATCTTTTGGACGGGAACCGATTCGCCTGTAAGCATAGCCTCCGAGATAACAGCTTGTCCTTCGAGTATTAACATATCAGCAGGTATAATCCCTGCCATCGTAATAAAAACAAGATCACCAGGAAGTAATTCCGAATGGGAAATATATTTCTCATGATTCCCTTGTCTTTTAACCAAGATTTTTGTAGAGTCAAGTGGGATAAATCTATAAAGGTCCAAAACCATTGCAATGACGTCATATTTTGAGGAGTGAACCCATATCTCCATAAAAGCACGGGTAAAGATTGGAAATCCAAAGATAATGGTAGGCCGTATAAATGACAATACATTTTTAAGGCCATCAATAGATGAACAGTCAATAACAGCTTCAAACCCAGATACGAAAAGGAAGAAAAAGTTGGATGGAATTAGAATTAAGTTCCAGAAAAAGGGCCAAAACGCTATTTCTATTTTTTTCTTATTTGGCCCAAATCGGAGAAGAGCCTCTTCAACCATCTGTGACGTGGAGAGACCAGACTTTCCCAATTTGAGAGAATGAGTTGCAGGAGTTGCACATAAATTATTGGCGTTTGATTTTCCAAAGGGAATCCAAATCCTTATGGAGCAATATTCTATAAAAGCTTCTTCGGACAGTTTGGTATACTGAAGATCAACGATATCGAGGACTACCGAAAGACTGTTTTCTAGAGCAACCGAAGTTGCAAAATAGTCGTTTTTTGAGATCGCAGGTGTGAAGGCTTGCATTGCGTAAAGCTTTGTATTGCGATAAAGAAAAGACCAACCTAAAAGTATTCCGGCAATTAGAATGGAAAGCGAAATAGATAACAATTCTTCCTGGTATGAATTGATAGAAAGCGAATAGTAAGCTTTAAAGCGCACAGAATACCATGCAGAAAACCAAGCAGTAGTTCCCAAGATAAATGGGAGAACGAACCCATGCTTCCAGCGAGGCAATCGCCTCAAAAGTTGCAACTGAGAGAGCATGGGAAATTTTATGGGAATTGTTTGAGACATTGGCCTAGCAATACTTACAGGGTCAAAGAATATGCCAAAAAGTAAAGGCTGAAAGATAAGGGCGATAAAAAGTAATTGGATAAACTTAGCCTTAGCCTGAAAAAGATCTTGGAAATCTTGATTGACAAGAAGATGATCCGCAAGAGGATCTTGAGCGATATGATAAAATTGGTTTAAATGCCTACAAATAGCATCTGCAGTTGTTAGTTGGGAAATTGGGATCTCCCTGTTACCTTTAGGATAATATCTGTCACCATTTGGAAGGATAATAAGCTCCAAGTTGGGCATTTGCAAAATAAAATCTTCAACAACAACATTAAGGTCTAAATTTCCAGAAAGATCAATGACTTCGAGGAATGGTGCTTCAAGAGGCTCACTTGGAAGCATGGACAGAGCGTTTGTAGAAAGATTTAAATAACGAAGAGTACAAATGGTATTTTTGTCCCAATGAGCAATGATAAGTTTACAGTTACTTAGAGAGAGCCCAATCAAGGAGGGGGGAAGGCTAGAAATTTCCAAAAGAAAAATTGGATTATCTGTAGCCTCAAGCCACTGCAGTTGTCTAAAATCGGAAAAGACCCCTGGAATTGCTTCAAAGTGATTTACTGAAATATTTGCAAATCTAACCCAATTCAGCTCTCGCCTTTCAATGGCTCTATTATAACGATTATATAGCAAGGATCCTAAGCCCATTCCAAGAGATAAACTAGCCCCGTATGCTCTTTCTGGGGATTTTAGCATTCGCAATGGAGGCTGATGATTTCCTAACTCTAGCCTTGGGACAAGGTCGAGGATGTCAGTTTCAAGATTCTGTTCAGGTTTCCAAAAAGGATCATGTTGTTTAGTATCAATGAAGAGCTCCCGCCTAGCATATAGAAACAGCATGTTAATTGAAACAACTGAAAATAGAGTCACGAAAATGCCACGCACATGCACATAGACTGATGCAATAGAAAGAGACATCAACAGCTCAAAATAGGGGAAGATTTGCCTATCCTCAGAAAACAGTGTGATAAACCCTCGAAAAAGAAGACGAATTGCCATGAGGAGCGAAAATCGACGACCGATACTGCTGAGTTGAGGATATAAGATACGGTTCTTCCTTATCAATAGGTTTATTAGCAAAAGAAAAATGGAGTCTGATGCAATCCAAAGGACCCGTGTGTTGGAGTAGTGCTTATTCTTTGAGAGAAATAGTAATACACTGGCCTTGAAGCTCCGAAAATGAGAAAAAAATTCTTTTTGAGCATTTACAGATTTATCTTCGGCCCATCTTACGATTGAGGCCATCGAATCGGAGACCTCCGATGTTTTTGGCTTGGATTCATTTCTTTTTAACACAGGAAGGTAAACCAATAGTGAAAAAAAGGTAAGAATGAGGCAGAGCAAGGCGATCTTTATATATTTCTCATTCATAACGTTTCCCAACACGAGCCGTACGTTCATGGAATTTGAAATCAAAATTAGTTGACCAATCATTAATTTAAAACGACCAATAGCGAGTTTTCAAATTGACCAATCATTGGGAAATCGAACATATTTCATTGTGGCATGGTGCTTTTTTAAAATAGAGCTCTCAACTTACCCAGTGGACCGGTCTTTTATGTGAAGAAATATTCATAAGGCGATCCAGAAAATATATTAAGCCCTCTGTTTTGAGATTCCAATTTTTGTTAATATCGCTACCAATAGAAAATGGTTTAGCATCAGAGACATTCTGATAAATCTTCAAGCAGCCGAGCATGGATATTAAACCGGTCGATTTTAATATAAATATCTTTTTGCATGCAGAGTACAGATTACACGATTTGGATTTTAATCAATTGCAACTGTTCTACTTCAAAATAAACATTAATAATTGTTGATGCACGCGTTGATCAATTTAATGTGTAAAATGTGTCGATGTACAAATAGTAATTTTTAATCCGTCTTTTTCCGAGCATGAACAAAATATTTGACATGAACAAATTTCGTAAGGGAAGCGTCATTTCGGTTTTCAAAGGAATCAAAAGGCCGTCAACCCTATTGGCACCAGTGTCTGATTTTTTGTTTGGCAAGTCAATTTCAACAAACGATAAAAAGGATATTGAAATTGCCCCTAATATGCACTTTTTTAAGCCGCTACCTGTTCGCCTTGAATTCTCAACATCCAATCCACCGCTTAGCACAAAAACACTTGAATCCATTGATGTTTCAATTGGGTACCACCGTCAAGCCGGTATTTTGGCATTTTCTTCGATAACTTTAGATACTTTCTCCGACAAGATTGCTTATGGCCTGGTAAAATTTTTGAGAGTATTTGCAGATCTTTTTTTCCAAAAAAGGTATGTACATCGTGCCATTGTGCTTGAGACAGTTGCGGCAGTTCCTGGGATGGTTGCAGCAATGGTGAGGCATATGCGATCCCTGCGACGAATGGTATCGTTAATATCGTCCTATTGCTAGCAACATGATGGCGGATGGATTCATCAGCTTCTACTCGAGGCTGAAAATGAGAGGATGCATTTGATGACTTGGATGAAAATAACAAAACCAAATTTGGCCGAAAGGATCCTGGTTACTGCAGTGCAAGGAATTTTTCTCAACTTTTTTGCCGTTTTTTATTTGATAACTCCAAAGACGGCCCACAGAATGGTTGGATACCTTGAAGAGGAAGCTGTAATCTCATATACTGCGTTCCTCAAGGAAATTGATGAGGGAAGGATTGAAAATACACCCGCTCCCTCTATTGCCATTGATTACTGGAACCTGCAAAGCGACGCAACTTTAAGAGACGTAGTTCTCGCTATACGCGCAGATGAAGCGAACCACCGCGATGTAAATCACCACTTTTCGACAAGAATTGCGAATAAGAACGAAAACCTGAGAGAAAACCAATATTAAATCAAAAGAAACTGAGGGCCAATATCCACTTTACTAGCAAACATTTAAATGTTACATTTAAAATTTTTATTTAATGGACAAAGGACTTGTTCCTCTTGTTTCCGCTACTTCCATCAAACGCTCGCCACTACGTGGCATTTCGGGGACAATTTCGCTGTCGGGATCCGTTCTCCCCAAGATTCTTGATTCCAAAGGAATGCTCCAATATGACACTACTGTCAGAGTTGGCCATTCTGCTTCCAGAATCATTTATGCCAGAGACTCCGATTCTCGCCCTCGTCGTATCAACGATGACGAGCAGTTTCCTCGTCCGTCGCAGGAAGAAATAAACACAACCACAGAATTGACCCGAAAGGCACTTGAGGCAATTGTCAGCCAGCGGATAAAAAGCACGTTGCCGAAACAAGAGGGTCTTTCCGCTACTCAAGCATCCACCTCGAAACTTACCATGATCGAATATAAGCCTTCTGCTTTGAATTTATTGGTGAATCCAGATGCACCAAAAAACAGGGTCATTAAAATGGTGGAGGCCCAGGCGGACCCTCTTGATCCAGCAAAGTTTAAACATCGGAAGATCCCTAGGGGGCCTCCATCACCCCCCGTTCCTGTCTTGCATTCTCCGATAAGAAAGGCAACTTCAGATGAGTATAAAGCGTGGATTGTTCCGCCATCTATCTCCAATTGGAAAAATCCAAAAGGCTATACAATTCCCCTCGACAAACGCTTAGCTTGTGATGGTAGGTCGTTGCAGGAGTCTGTGATAAACGATAAGTTTGCCGCATTTGCCGAGTCATTGTATGTGGCAGAAGCTCATGCTCGTGAAGAGGTGGCGCGCCGAAATGCTCTTGAACGTTCGCTGGCAGCAAATGAGCGTCTCGAGAAGGAGGCCCGTCTCAGGGAAATCGCAAAGGAAACCAGGGCTGCGGCCTTTGCACATCAAGGATCAAATCATCATTCAGACGAAATTTATGAGCGTGACGCTCTTCGAAGAGACGTCGCTCGCCATCGGGCTGCTGAATATAATAAGCGTGGGAGCGTCGGTCGAGAGCGTGATATTTCTGAAAAAATTGCTCTCAACGTCCCCATTTCAGCATCGGGAGGTCCTGGCTCTTCATTATTTGATACCCGTCTTTACAACCAAACCGAAGGAATCTCCTCTAACTTTTCAGCCAATGATGACACATACGCTGTCTACGAAAAGCCGCTGTTTTCAGGATCGGCCTCCTCGCTTGTTTATCGCCCAAATGTTCGCCAATCTGACATTAATGGTGAATTAACTACAGAAGAAACCACCATGTCTAAAAGGCCACGAGCAGGGCTTGGCTCGGAAAGTGGGGGGGTTAGTAGGGAGACTGCCCCTCTCCCCTCCCAACGCACAGGGCCGGTTCAATTTGAAAGGGGTGGCGTTACATCGACCGAATTCTCAAAGCCAGAAAAGAGACATGTTGCTGATAATGACGCAGGAGAAGACGATCCCTTCGGACTGGATACTTTCCTCCAGACTGCAAAACGAGGCAGACAAACTGGGAAATGATAGACCTGTGCTTATATTAAACTTAATACTATGTACTTTTCGCATGTACTTTTGGCGTGCCAATGGTTCCATATATTTTGATGGATTTACCTGCGGCAGGACTTCAATTCACCCCCTTGACAGATTGCGAGGTTAGGATTATTGGCAGACATTTTTGGTGAATTTTCAATTCTCAATATTAATTACCAGAACCATCATTAACGACAAAGAGCTGATCTGCTAAAGAATGACAAATACTTGTAAAGTGGGCAACGAAAAACGCAAAGCTTCAAGAGGGAATGTGTAATCGCGGTGGTGGACATATGCATCCAGTATGGTATTTCCTTTACGGCTACTTTTTAAACTTTTGCGTAAGAGCCCAGCTAGGCTTTCCAATCGATAATGTTAAATTTTTTCCCGGATTTTCCATGGTTACCGCTATTAAAGCCTTAGAATTTATTGCTGTGACTAAAACATAGCGGATGATGATGGCAAGTATTTTCGGCATTTTCATCCTACTGATCTTTATCTTGGACCGCTCCGAATGCAATGCGCCATTAATTTACGATTTGGTTATCATTGGATTGGGTTCAGGGGGGCTTGCTGCCGTCAAGAGAGCCAGTCATTATGGTGCTAAAGTTGCCGTAATAGAGCAAAGCTTTATTGGCGGCACGTGTGTAAATGTTGGGTGTATTCCAAAAAAAGTAGCATGGACTGCAGCATCATTAGCCCAGACCAGACGTCTATACGCTGGATATGGCATTTTTGACTCTCTCACTAGTGCAAAAAGCTACCAAAATCACGGAATAAAAGAATCATTTTGGTTTGAAATGGAGGTAAATCGAAAGGCCAGAAACTCATACATCAACAGAATCCGTCGCTCTTATGCCGGGTTTTTTTCAAGCCTTTCTGATGTAGATGTTTTTCTTGGATTTGACGTGACAGAAGTTGATGTATCTCGCTACTCGAAAACAGTTATTGCATATAGAGCCAGCGATGGGGCTAAAATCGCAGTGAATGGAGAAAGAATACTTCTGGCGACCGGGGGGCGTCCAAAACTTCCAGAATATCCTCTTTCATTGACCGGAATAACATCTGATGATTTCTGGAAACTTCCTTCCATTCCAAAGACCGTTGTAATCGCAGGCGGAGGATATATCGCCATCGAGCTTGCATCGATTTTGAAATCTCTTGGAAGTGAAAATGTTATTGTGGTCGTTCGGGATGATAGGCTGCTTATCCCCTTTGACCACGACATTGTCAGCGCACTTCATAAGGAGCTTGTTGAGAGAGAGGGTGTCAAAATTTTTTACATGCATGCAGTTACTCAAATAGAGAGTTTGGCCTGTGATAATGGATCTGCCAGCACATCTCGAATAGTGGTTTCTTCTCTAACCTCCCCCGTGGAAAAAATGGAAATCTACGCAGATTTAATGATTTGGGCTATAGGCAGGTAAACTAGCCTTTTCTTATTTAAGATCTCCTAACACCGAAATCAACGGGCTTCCTGAAGAAATAATAGATCCAAAGTCTCGTTTAGTAATAGTGAACGAGACAACATTTGAAACCGCTATTCCAGGGCTCTATGCAATTGGGGATATTATTTATGGCCAGCATTTGACGCCCGTTGCAATCGCTCAGGGAAGGTCGCTTATAGATCAAATTTTTGGAAATGGACCCTGTTTTAACAAGAGCGTTCCAATCCCAACAGCAATATTCAGCGTGCCTCCAGTTGCAAGTGTTGGGCATTCTGAAAGTGAAGCAAAAAAAAGCTACGGCAGTGAAAATGTCTATTCATACGTGAAGACTTTTACTCCAATGATGATATCAGCCATTAGTGTTCCGGGAGATCAAATTCGCAAACGTACCGCAACTTACAAATTGGTTTGCGTTGGAAAAGAACAAAGAGTTGTCGGAATCCACATGTTTGGTCCATGTTCCGAGGAAATAATTCAGGGATTTGCAGTAGCGATGGCTACGGGACACCTGACGAAGCAGATCATGGACACTGCGATTGCTCTACACCCAACAATGGCTGAAGAGCTGCTGTCAATGTAAAGTGAGTTGAAATTTTGAATGCAAGTTTTGAATGTAAATTTTAAAAAGTTCAATTGATCCTTTGATTAAATGGCCAAGAAGGGCAATTTCTCCACTTCTTCGATCTTAAATAATTCTGCTGCCTTAAACGAAGAATCGAATTGTAATCTGACAAGAGAGATCTCCAAAAGATACGCTGCCAAAACATCTGCTTTTCACAAGGCTTTAGACTCGGTATTGGTTTTTTTCTTGATAAATGGAATTATAATATTCACGTATGGCCTCCTCACTCGAGATGCGTATAAAAGTTTTTTGGGTGGCTTTCTCCCGCCAATTGGAATGTTTGTACTCGTTATGTGCCTTAGATCCTATACCCAGGAAGAGCCCAAAAAAGGCGTATATCCAATCTTGGGCTCTTTTCTTTGTTTTGTTGTGATATTTTTCCTTGCGATTATAAATTTTATACAATAGAATAAACCTGATATGGATTCATATTTACCACCATAAAAATAACGTAAATTTTAAAGGAATCGTGAAGATCACCGTTTTTTTGCAATTTAATGGAAGTAGCCAAGCCGAATTTTACTTTTTAAAATTTAGATGGCAAATTCGACTCCTCAGATACGGCACTCTCCGCGAGACAGCCCCATTTTGATAGGGCAGGATTGCACCGTGGAGTTTCCCTCATATCCTCCCCAATCCAGAGATCCTTATTTTCTGCTCCGAGATAGGATTGAACATCAAATGGCCAAGGTTAAATCGGTAAAAGATATCCACAGCATTCAACAGGATCTTGTTACGCTTAAGCAAACAATTGACAGTGTACTTGAAAACTCAACACTTTTCCCACATATAAATGCCAGTGTCGAGCTCCCAAAAAGAATGGCGTTTTATCAGTCAATGTCTGCAAGGCTGGCAGCATTGAAGCGGGGAGCAGAGGTGGGGAATCCAGAGCTTCTAAATCAAGATCCCCAAGCATCGCCATCATCTTCGACAGCAGTCACAACAACTTTTCATTTTGAGGTTCCTTGCACTGACCAGCAAAGACATTTAGACCATTTGATCTCTGTCGTTGGAAACGTTAGAGAGCAGGCGCACCAGATCAATTCAGAGATTGAGACACAAAAAAGGTATGTTTCCTGCACAACTTTTTCTCATTAGCTGGATTAACCGAATAGAAACGCATTTTACCGCTTTGGATGAAAGTATGGAGCGAGTCTCCAAACGGGCGGTTCTCGCCTATCGTCGCTCGTCGCGCAATGACCGTGCTGTGATGGCCACAGTTCTATTTTTGATAATATTCCTGCTTCTTCTTGCATTTTTGTAGAATGGGGATTGTATACAGTACGTGGCATGTAAATTATTAAACCTGAAATTTCCAGCATTTAAAATAGACCATCATCCGTAAACTTGGCACCCTTAGTAAAAAGACCATTTAAATTGTTGGCGTGTAATAGTGTGCTGAAGCGTATTTTTATTCACCACGGCAACATTAAAGTTTCACACTTAATTATAAGCTGCTCATTGATTTGATGCGATGTGGGTGCTTCATAATTTATTATTATATTAGTCTACAACTTTTGCATACAGAAATTCACATGATGTACATTTACTTGACTGAAGATTATTTCAAACAATACGACTGACAAGGGAGGAGGTGGGCATTGGGATTGGCAAAATACTATTGATAGCCGGGGGTTGGGGCATTGGTAGGGGCTCGAGCTCCTCCGGTAACATTACGAAATGTCCCCCAAGAGCACCTTTGCAATTTGTCCCGTCACTACCTAAGGGTAGCACCTGAGAATAGGGTTTTGAGCCATGGGAATTGTGATACTTCCGTCGATACTGGAAATGTGAAGACATGATTCCGAATCGCTCGGCCAAAAACCGCATAATTCCCTTCTTTTCCTGTTGATGGCAAGAAAGAGAAGCTGATGAAGATGAAGAGGGTGTTGAGCAAACAGCAATGTCAGGCATCTTGGTGCCATCAGTTTCTCGATGTCCAAGCAAAAGGTAGAGCTTGGCGGCATGTCCAAACGGCTTTTCCTGAATATGTCGAGCAAGCCATGCTAGTTTTGCGGGGCTAGGCCTTCCAAGGTGCGCTTCTGCTTGAGCGGGCTGAAGAAGAAGCGCCACATGTGTAAGAATTTTTAGAGAAAGTGGGAATTGAGGGATGATCCGAAGCGGATCACTAACTTGCTGATCCTGCAAAGAAAGCCATGGGTGCATCATAACTTGGGTGATTGTGGCTCGGGTAGATGGATCGGGCGAAAGCATACAAGAAATCAAGTCGCCCAGGGCTAGTGAGATTCCAGGTAGAGGGTCAGCTCGGCCCGTTGCAATTCTGGCATATAGACCCTTGAGTGTATTGTCTACAAAGGGTAGGCGGCCCCCAGAGATCATTGAATACAGGATCACACCAAGCGACCAAATATCAACTTCTGGACCCTTATAAGGAATTCCGTTTACCATTTCTGGAGATGCATAGTAGGGCGAACCGCAAAAAGACCGCTGGCGTTCATCCTGGCTCCAAATGGTGGCAAATCCAAAGTCAACCAATTTTAGTCTCTTTTTATCTGCCGAAAGGAGAACATTCTGAGGCTTGATGTCCCGATGAATAATTCCATGCTCATGCAAGAGATGGACGGCCGAAACAAGCTGGCCAAATATTTCACGAGCAAAGGTCTCCTCCTTGAAAGAGCCCTCTTTGATTGGAGAAATCAATTCGCCCCCCTTAAGAAGCTCTGTCACAATGATCAAATGTGTTGGTGTCTCATGAACGGCATGCAAAGACAAAAGAAAGGGAGATTTCTCCTTGATTAGTCTGAGAATTCGTACCTCCCTCCTAAGACGTTCATAGTGTGATGGTTTCTTTAGTACGGCTGATTTATCAATGAATTTGAGGGCAACCTCAAAACCAGTGAGCTCGTTCCGACCGGCATGAACATTCCCGTAGGAGCCCTTCCCAAGAAGCTCTCCGACAAAATAGACCATGCCTTACGGAAAAGGAAAATCCAGGGTGAGCATTTGCAGTGTAGCTGAAACGCCGTCTCAGGCGTTAGCAACAAAAGAATTTCTTAAATTTAATTTACTTGAACACTTTGACATTACAAGCGCTGATGTTTACTTGAATAGAAATATCATCTGTTTCGACAATCCATGACAGATTCGAGAAGCATTACGGGTGCTGTCGCTATATTTTGTTCTGAAACGAAGATCCAATCGATTTACACGTGTTTCGTTTTGTTTTAATGAATGGGTGAACAATTTGCGCGTTTATTGATCCAAAAATAACTAACTATTTGGTCAGATCTGGCTGACATAGGTTGCAGGAACGTATCCGCGAAGGCCTGTGTAAAGGTGAAGCACATATAGCCACTCTTCCTGATCTTCAGAAGAGTTGCTTGGCAAGGCCTCGAATTGGTCTCCCTTACAAAAGGAGAGTTCATCATGAGACTCTGCAGTGGAGTCGTAAAGTGCAACATATTTTTTTGCTTTTGGAGAAGAGGCTGGCGAGACCGAGGAGCACGGTGAAGGTATCTGATTGAGATTAGTGCCTGCCGAAAATTCCTGCGGAGAATTTCCCTTTGAACTTTTGCTCTTATATGTCGATATTCTTAGTCGTTCATATTCTGATTTTCCGATATTTGTGATAGGTGATGATGGTAATGAAGATTCTGAGGGAAGATCTTGACATTCTTTTAGTTGTGTTGATATTGCCTCAAGGAGTTTTCGAGCATTATGAGATACGAGTAGGCTATTTTCCATATCAGAGCTCAATAGCTGGTCAATTAGTTGCATAAGCTGTTCTTTTTTTGAAGAGCATGATTTTGACTGAATTGGAAGAGAAATTTCCCACGTCGTCGCATCTGATCCGCCAACTTTGGGAAGCTTTTGTGCAATTATGTTTTGCCCATCCCCATCAAGTAGTGAGCTGAGATATGTGAAAATAG